AGTTATAAACAAGGGTATAGGAGGAGGTGATGTGTTCCAGCAAGTGAAGCTTTCACTATCCTAGGAGCTGGGAGACCTGGCTCTGCCTCTGACATGATGTATGACCTTGGGCAAGTCATCTTTGCCTCATTTTCTCCAGTCATAGAACAGGGCACGATACTACTTGTTGATAACTTTAAAATCTATGAATATATATTCTTAAAAGTATTATTGAGTAAACATTTGCATATCTGAAAATACACTATAATAGAATTATTATCCATGAAGATGCCATCTTTAAATTCTAAGGGTGAAGTGCACAGAAAATCATCCATTACTCTCTTTCACAACAGTTAATAGTTCTCTGTGTTCTAAATATTAGTTCTCAACCTTATTCTCTCTGGCTACTCCACTGTCTACTGGCACTGGCATTTTGTGCCAAAAAAATAAAATATCTCTGCACAATATTTTAAAATTCTGCAACATTCTGCAAATTTTATTTCTCAAATAAACGTGGATGCTTCAGTATGGCATTGGGGTGCTCAGGCCAACTGGCTGCACAGAGGTGGGAGATCACTGTGCAGTTCCTCCCCAGGACATGGACTCAGCAGTGAGGTTGCCCCCAATCCTGACTCAGCACAAGGACCAGACCTGCCCCAGAAACACCCCAGAATCTTGTCCCTCCATGCCAGGTGTACTAGGTGTAGGTTGACAGGTTCAGCAAAGCAGGAACCAAGTGTGGAGAGTTTTACTGTGGGTGGATCCGTGTATGGGTTGAGAGGATTCTGGGTGGGGTAATCTGGGTGCAAACAAATCGGTGGGGGAGCCAAGTGCAGGCTTGTTGGGGGTTCTGGTTGCAATAGTGATGGCACTCTGCAGGCAGTGCAGCAGGGGTCAGAAGAAGGTTCTGGCTCAGTGGAAGTGTGTGGGGATAGAGCTGGGCAAGGAGTTTTGGGGTCCAGATGGTGGGGAAGTGGTGCCCAGCGGGATGGGGAGCTGGTTGCATCTGATGGGGGTTTGGTGGAGTATGGATGGGTACTTGGTGGTCCAGGTGCAGAAGGGGTGGGGCTCATTGGGAGGTTCTGAGTGTTTGGGGTTGAGGCTCAGCAGGAGAAGTTGGGTATGAAGGGATTTGGTTACATAGGGGTTGGGCAGATGTGGGAGTAGCTCCCTGTATATGGATCTCTCCCCCCTGCAGCTAAGGAACTATGGGTGCAGGAAGTGGGAGGGAGGAAATTTGGGAATGGGTTTTCCCCTGCCTGTGCTGGGTAAAAGTAAGTCCCATCCTCCCCAGCCCAGCCAAGACTAGCCAGTGAACCCAGCGCAAATTTGGAGTCACCAGCCAAGTCGGATCCAATCCCGTCCACTGTCCTACCGTGATTTACCTCTCTGGTGATTACCCTGAATACCTGAAACGTACTTCTGGGGAGTTGCAGGACATAAAGCCATGTTTCTGTGAGGAGCCAAAAAATTCTGTGGTGGCATAAATTATGTTTATGTACAGTGGCACAGAATTTCCTCAGGAGTATAACCTCTTTCCAGTCCAACTTCCATTGTTGGCTCTTACTTCATCACATCAAATTTGAACTTCTTATCCTTCCTTTCACGTCCTCCAGAACCCCACCTACCTTCTCAATCTAATATTTCAGTGCATCTCAACCCTCCACTTTGCCTTGCCAACACCTGCATGTTTTCTCAGCTTTTTCCACCAATGACTTTGTACTTTCTCCCCAAGCCGACCCCTAGTCCTCAAATTCCCAATTCGTGCCCACTTAGTCACTACTCACACTTCATTCAAAATGCTTCCTTAAGCATCTCTTCTTCCCTAATGCTCAAAAAATGAGGCAATAACACTTACTATTTATATATCAAAAATCCACCTGAACCTTTAACATGCATACATGCCACATGGCCTTATTGATATAAACTTTGTCCTTCCACCATCATACAATATTGTTACTGCCATGTGTTGCCTAATATCTGCAGCTAGATTATGAGCTCTTTGGAGACTGTGTCTTTCTGTTTGCACTGTAGTGTACCAAGCATACTCGTGTGGCTATTAAAATATTTTGTGCTTGTGTAGTGTTTTTCAAACAAATCTCAAAGTGGTTTACTAACATTAATTTTTAATTAATTTACTATATACACTCTTGTGACGGTGTTATTTAAGGGCCAATTTGTTTGGAACAATTCTCTACAGTTTGGAGTGATATATAAACACTTAGTAACTGTGTATTCCAGGAAATAAAATGCAAGACCAAAGCATGCCTCCTTAGGTTGCACCACCCAGATGGACAAGTTTGTAATTAATATCCGTTCAGCTTGAAAAATGAACTGCATTTATTCAAAGCACCCTCCATACAAGAGGAGAGCACAGATCTCAAACTGGAATGAAAGACAACTGCAAAGTTAATGTCTCTTAAAAGAAAGTCTGGAAAGACTAGCTTAGCTTGT